GGAGAGTGAGTGAGGGAGAGTGTGTGAGTGAGAGTGTGTGAGGGAGAGTGAGTGAGTGAGTGTGTGTGAGGGAGAGTGAAGGCTCCTGGGCGGCAGCCTGGCCGGGTAAGTGCTCACCGCGGGCTGGGCCGCCCAGGGCTGCTTATGGCATGGGGAAGGAATTCCCTGGGAACCCAGCGGCCTGGGCGGGCCCCACCCCCACCCCCACCCACAGGGTGACCGGCTGGGTGGCTGCTGCACTGAGTCAGTCCTCTGGCCTGACCCCGCCCCACCCATCCTGGCGCTGCTGCCACAGCTGCTGCCACAGCGGAGTGAGGGGCAGGGAGGCCTGGAGAACTCTGTTTGCTGTCTGCCCCAAACACGCGATGGCACGTGGGGTGGGCTCTGCCTCCCAGCCACAGCCGGGGACGGCCCGGCTTCAAGGACAGTCAGAGCCGCGTCTGGGAAGGCGACGTGAACTCTGCAAGAGGAACCTGCTAAGTCACACAGCGGAGCTGGGAGAGGTCGCCAGGAGGCAGCTGCGTGGATGGGAGCATGCGGTGGAGGAGGCCAGGGCTGCGGCGGGCAGCTCTCCCCACACTCCAGTGCGCCTCCTATATGCCCGCCCTCCGCCTCCTATATGCCCCGCCCTCCACGCGCTGTGCCTTCCTCTGCATCCAGGCCAGGGTCTGAGCAGCACCCTCCGCGCCTGCCCAGCCCCGCTGGATGGAGCCGCAGGCGGGGCTCCTGCAGCCCTTCCCCAGGGCGCTTGGAGCTTGGGGGTGATGCTGTGAGCATCTTTATTCTTATTTCTTTGGGTTATAGGTTGTACGTCCACACAGTACAAAATTCAAATGTTTAAATAAAAGATACGGTAAAAGCACCTCCCCCAATCCAGCCCCGCCCCGAAGTTCCCACTCTAGGACCCCCCGCAGCACTGGCTCCTGTGGGTCCTGTGGGACACCCCGCCATGAGTCAGGGCCTGCCTGGACCAGGCCGACTGGTTGCCATGGGGATGGTGGAGCCCATCGGTTTCTCCTTTCCAACTGCTTAACGCCCTTCTGGCAGCTCCCACTTCCCACTTGGGGACCCAGGCGCCTGACACCCCAAGCTGGCACTTCCGCAGTCTCCCTTTATCTCTGGATATAATTTGTACACTTTCCCCACCTTTTCTCCTTGACAGTTCAATTCTACTCAGATTTTTAAGCACCTGTAACAGGCCCAGGCCGGCCTGGCAGTGGACACAGCCTCCCGTCCAGCAGCTCAAGGTCTAGGGGGAGGACAGAGAGAGGAGAGGCCATCACAATTCCAGGTGCCCATGCTACAGCCTCTGCTAGTGGGGGGATGGGACATCCCACGAGGAGGGCGCGGCTCAGGGGCACACTCCTAGTGGCTGGCCGGAGGGTGAGGAGAAGGGCCACCTGGAAGAGAATTTGTTGATTCTAGGAAGTTGAGCCAGCAAGTCCGCTTTCTAAGTTCTCACTCTAGAAGAGAGGTTTTCAAACTGTTCACAGGTACCCTCAATAGCACACACTGTTCCAGAATGCACGCACCACACTCGCCTCAGACACACTTCCTCCTCAATATCACCCTCATGATGCGTGGTGCACGCTGATATTTTCTAACCAATTCTGAACATTAAAAATGCTGATCTTGCCCAGCCAGCAGAGCTCAGTGGTCGAGTATCAATCTATGAACCAGGAAGTCCAGGAGGTCATGGTTCAATTCTCGGTCAGGGCCTGGGTTGCCGGCTCGGTCCCCAGTGTGCGGGAGCCAGCTGATCAATGATTCTCTCATTGTTGATGTTTTTCTCTCTCTCCCTCTCCCTTCCTCTCTGAAACCAATAAAAAAAAATATTTTTTAAAAAAGCTGATCTTCACCCACTAACTTAATTTCATGACTCACTAGCGCATCTCAATCCATAGTTTGAATAATGCTGCCCTACGGATACTCATGTGTAGGAACAAAGAGGCAAGAATGTTTACTGCAACATTGCTGTGAGAGCAAAAACTTAGGGCTTTGATGGTTACCAACAAAATGGGTGAACAAATGGTGATGGGGTCAGGAAGTGGACTATGGCAGGGCAGCCCCTGCCTGGGAGGCTGCACGCAGTGGGGCCATGCATGTGAGATGGAGAGCCCTGCGGGTGAAAGCACACACTGCGAGGGGCACATAGCACTGCATGAATGACCCCACCCCAGTCAGGGAAGTGGTTAGCGCTGGGGTCGTTAGGGAGGAGGGCATAAGGAACTTCATTAAGGTTTCATTTCTTTTTTAAAAAAATATATATTTTATTGATTTTTTACAGAGAGGAAGGGAGAGAGATAGAGAGTTAGAAACATCGATGAGAGAGAAACATCGATCAGCCGCCTCCTGCACATCTCGTACTGGGGATGTGCCCGCAACCCAGGTACATCCCCTTGACCGGAATCGAACCTGGGACCTTTCAGTCCGCAGGCCGACGCTCTATCCACTGAGCCAAACCGGTTTCGGCAAGGTTTCATCTCTTAAAAATATGTTGAGCCGTAGCCAGTTTGGCTCAGCTTGCGGACTGAAGGGTCCCAGGTTCGAATCTGGTCAAGGGCATATACATGGGTTGCAGGCTTGATCCCTAGTAGGGGGCGTGCAGGAGGCAGGAGTTGGGAGGTGAGTGAGTGTCAGGGGGCAGGAGGCGAGACATGCTGGAGGTTTATCACACTGCAGTTTGCATCAGTTCTCTCTCATCATTGATGTTTCTATCTCTCGCTCCCTCTCCATTCGTCTCTGAAATAAATAAAAATATATTTTAAAAATATGTTGAAACAAATTTTGAAAAATATTAAGATTTGACAAAGCTGAGGGAAGATACAGGGCACTGACTCTATTTTAAATATATTATTTTTATTTAATATTATTACTTTTTGAAATATTTCACCAAGATTTACAAAGTTGGTGCTCCGTTACATCAGGGAAGGAGACTTTATTCTGACCCTGGGAACGAGAGGGGGAAGAGGGGAGGGCACCACATGAGCCCAGGACAGGACAGGAGCGGCTGAGCGCCTGGGGAAATGGACGCACACACCCAGTCCTTCCTGCCTGGGATGCTGTGCTGGCGGCTGCGTCCACTTCCCTCGCATGTTGGTACCACTCTCTCCTCATTGAACATGAGAGGAAACAGCCTGAGGGCTGTCGCTGGAAAGTGGCAGGGCTGGGACTTGACCCCAGACCTATGAGAGTCAGTGCTTGCGTTTTTGAGCTGCTGATGGTGTAAACAATAATATAAAACTAAGCCATTCCCTAACTGGTTTGGCTCAGTGGATAGAACATCGGCCTGCAGACTGAAGGGTCCCAGGTTCGATTCCAGTCAAGGGCATGTACCTTGGTTGTGGGCATATCCCTAGTAGGGGGTGTGCAGGAGGCAGCTGATTGATGCTTCTAACTCTCTATCCCTCTCCCTTCCTCTCTGTAAAAAATCAATAAAATATAAATAAATAAAAAAAAACTTAAAAAAAACACTAAACCACTTTATTGTTTATATATTTCCTTATTTTTAAATGAAGCCACTTTAAAATGGAGCCGGAGCTGCATCTGAGAGGAACTGCATGTGCGCCTTGGACCTGAGCCCTGGGGTGGTAAAGCAGGCCACAGTACCCTTTGTGCTGCGCCTGAGCAGCCTTGTTTCCCAAAGAACCTTGCAGAGATAACAAGAAAGCAAATAAAAAATAAAAAAAAAGAAAGCAAATATGACTCCCGGACTGAAATTAAAAACATTGTTTAGAATTAATGTCACTATGTTAGCTTATCTGAACCACTAGAAAGGCCTTCTTCTATGGATGTAATTATTCCCTTTTTCTTTTTAAAAATATATACTAGAGGCCCGGTGCACGAAATTCGTGCGGGGGCGGGGGGGGGGGGTCCCTCAGTCCGGCTTGCACCCTCTCGCAATCGGGGACCCCTTGGGAGATGTCCGCCCGCCAGTTTAGGCTCGATCTCGGCAGTCGGACATCTCTCTTGCAATCGGGACCGCTGGCTCCTAACCGCTCACCTGCCTACCTGATCGTCCCCAACCACTCTGCCTGCCAGCCTCATCGCCCCTAACCATTCTGCCTGCCTGCCTGATCGTCCCTAACTGCCTCTGCCTTGGCCCCCACCGCTGCGGCTAATCTGGAAGGTCGTTCAGCTGTCCGGTCTAATTAGCATATTACCCATTTACTATTATAGATTTTTTATTGATTTCAGAGATGAAGAGAGAGGGAGAGAGAGATAGAAACATCAATGATGAGAAAGAATTGATAGGCTGCCTCCTGCCCACCCCCTACTGGGGATTGAGCCCAGGGATAGAGCCCACAACCAGGGCATGTGCCCTTGACCAGAGTCAAACTCGGGACCCTTCAGTCTGCAGGCCGACGCTCTAGCTACTAAGCCACACCAGCCAGGGCCCTTTCCCTTTTTCGTAAATGCCATTGCCTTTGTCTCCTAATCAGGACACTCAGGGCTTCTGCCTGAGTCACTGCATCCCAATAGCTCTTCTTACTGACCTCAACTACATGCTGTTGCCTCTCACTTGCAAGCCTTTATTTGTAGGTTAACATGTCTGCGGAGGGTGCAGGGGTGGGGAAGGCGGGGCGGATGGGGCCTGGAGTGCCCAGCGAGGGCATGCAGGCTATGCTGCGGGCGATGAGGAGGTACAGGAGGGTTTCAAGCAGGGAAGCAGGGAGTGAACTATTTGGAGCTGTGTCATCTGTTTCTTAATTTTTTTTTAAAAACCACTGAACCTTTCTTTATTTTATTTATTTATTTATTTTAATATATTTCTATTGATTTCAGAGAGGAAGGGAGAGGGAGAGAGAGATAGAAACATCAATGAAGAGAGAGAATCATTGATTGGCTGCCTCCTGCACGCCACCTACTGGGGATCCAACTCGAAACCCAAGCATGTGCCCTTGACCGGAATCGAACCCGGAACCCCTAAGTCCAAGAGGCTGACGCTCTATCCACTGTGCCAAACCAGCTAGGGCTGCTTTTTTTTTTTTTAATAATCAACTGTGAGCTCTAATTTTGTAACCTATATCTGACATTTTTTTTAAAGTGTCTTGATTCACCACATTTTAAAAAATATATTTCATTGATTTTTTTACAGAGAGGAAGGGAGAGAGATAGAGAGTTAGAAACATCGATGAGAGAGAAACATGAGAGAGAAACATCGATCAGCTGCCTCCTGCACATCTCCTACTGGGGATGTGCCCGCAACCCAGGTACATGCCCTTGACCGGAATCGAACCTGGGACCTTTCAGTCCGCAGATCGACACTCTATCCACTGAGCCAAACTGGTTTCGGCTTCTTCTTTTTTTTTTTTTTTTTTAAATATTGAACCTTTCTTTAAACAAATCCCTCTCAGAACCCAGATATACAAAGGAGCTCACAGTGAAGTTGATTTGGCAGAAGCAGTGGCCAGGGCCTGGAGCCGAGGGGTGGCTCCTCGGGGGACACAGCATGGACGTCATGTTGCAGAGAGATTCCCAGGAGCAGTGGGGGAGTTGGCAGTGAGGCCCTGCGGGCGACCTTCTCAGTCAGGTGGGAGTCGTGCTCCCCCTCTGGCTCCTGTGGTTGGTGGAGGGATGGAGGGTCAGGGCACTCCCAGGCAGGGGTGGAGGGAGAAGCCTTGGCGTGAGCTGTGGGTGAGATAGGCCTGCCCCCCCCTACTGGCTGAGAGACCTTGGCTGGTTCTGGAACCATCTTTTGAGACTCAGGCGAGGAAGGACATGGGGTCTGGATGCAGCCGGGACAAGGAGGACAAGGACAGCACGTGCCCAGCGTGCAGCCCTGGGAGAGTGTTTCCAGAATGTCCCTCTTCATCCTCCATGTCTTGATGAGAGCCCGGTGCCCAGCAGAGGCCTGGCACATAGTAGGCCCTCAATATATGCTTATGGAATGAATGCATATGCTCCTTGAGGAAGCCAGGGGAGGCCTGACTTCTGGGAGGGAGTGAGCCTGTGCCAGGGGCTGGCCCTTCCCAGCAGGGCCCAGGGGCGGACAGCCGCAGTCCAGGGCCGTGTGGGGTCCTGGAGAGGAGACTAGGGGGCTGGGAGTCGGGGGCTGGGCTTCAGGAGTCAGGGGCTGGGAGTCAGGGGCTGGGCTTTGGGCTCCAGTGGCCATGAACCCGCCCTGTGACCTTGAGGTTGGTGCCCCTTCTGTGGGCTTTGGCCTTTTCTTTCTGGCAGACTGGTCTGGATGGGGTTTATCAAACTGCAGTTTGTAACCCATTTGGCACATTTGAAAAAGCAATCGGTATTAAAAAACAAAACAAAACCCCGAAAAAGAACAGAAAATATCAGAGTGCATTGCAGGTCATAAGGGTAAGTATTGTTCTGAGCAGCTATTGTTTTGCTTATATATAGAGGGAAGTGTGGGCTGTCTGATGTAAAACTTATTTGATACTGTGGTGCTGGTGAGAAGCTGTAAGCCACTGGGCCAGGATCCTGGAGGGGTCCTTCCCGCCCACAGTTTGGGGGTCCTCCTGAGGTCACACACCCTGGGACTCCTCTGCCTCCCCCTGAGTCAGCAGCCGCCTCCCGCTCTCTGCCGCCTCTCCTCTTCCTGCTTGAATCTTTCAGTCCCTCCTCCCTTTCTCCCAGGGACAAGCCTCCTGCTTCCCAGGAAGTCGGGATGGGGGTTCCCGAAGGACGTAAATGTGATCGAATGCGGGTGGCACTGGGCGCTCTCTGCCAGGAGTTCAAATAAAAGTACCAGGAAGCAAACACCCCAGCAGCCCGGGGACAGAACAGAAAGTAGGCGAGCTGGGCAGGGCTTCTCGAGCGAGAGGTGGCGGTGACAAAGCCCGCCCTGCGAGGCCGCCCCGGCCTGGTCCCCGCTGGCAAGGTGCACTGGTAACTAGTGAAGGTAGCTTTCCCCGCCCCGCCTCCCTTTTTACAAAGAAAGACGGGAAGAACCAAGAATCCTGGAGCCAACTTCTGGAGAGGGAGCGGCTGAACTGATTCGGAAGTTGGATCTCTTTGTACATAGGAATGCGGAGAGAAAAACAAAACCCACCCCAATGCTTCATTTCCCCCTCCGAGCCCCGGCACTTTCTATTGTGCAATGAAAAGCTCTCCACGTGGAGAAAAATGAATCCCGATTTGCGCGGCGCAGGAAAGGAGAGCGCCGCGGGGCGCGAGACCGCGCTCAGCTGGGAGCGAAGGCGGCGCGGCGGCCGGAAGGGTGACGGTGGCCCGATGGCTCCCGGGTCCTCCGCGCGGCTCCCCGTAGCGCGGCGGGGCGACGGGCTGTCCCTCTCTCGGGGCCGCACCGGCTCCCCGTGACCTGAGGACGAAAAAGTAGACGATGCCGGGAACCCGGAGGCAGGCAGCCCCACCGAGGCTGGGCCTCCCGGAGCGGCGGTTCCGCGAGCCTGTTGGGGACTTTTTGGAGCTGGAACTCCGTCCCGGGACGCTGCTGGAGCCCGGCTCTCCTCCGAGTTTCCCCGGGCAGGAGTCTCGCTCGGCGTCCGGAGGCCGAGCCCGGACGCTCGGGGGGCGCAGGGCACAGGAGGCGGGCCGGCGCACGTGGGTGCCGGGGGCGGGCCGCGCGGGGCGCGGGGGGGCCGGGCGTGGTTTCCCCGCCTCCCGGGCGGGGTCTGCATGTGTGTGTGGCAGCCCCAGACTTCTGCTCTTCTACTCGGCAGGTACGCGCCGGCCGGGTCGGCGGAATGGCGGGCGGCGGGCGCGCCAAGACGCGGGCACCTCCTCACCCG